GAGGTAGTGGTGAGCCAAGATGGTACCACTGCACTCTAGCCTGGGCAAAAGAGCGAGACTCCAACTCAAAAAAAAAAAAAGAAAGAAAGAAAGAAAGAAAAAGCATGAAGTAAATAACAGTAAGGGTAGTACAAGCTATAGAAAAAAAAACACAAAGATGTTCTAAAACTGTCTGAGGTTTGAGAGACATAATACTATAGCACCACGCAGCTTCATTTTCAGTTTCGTCTATGAAACTAGGGTCATCTAGCACTGCAGAATAAAACAACAGACTAAGAATCTTGAACCTGTAGTTGGGTGTGGTAGTGCTTAGGAGGCTGAGGAAGGAGGATCACTTGAGCCCAGGAGTTTGAGGCCACACTGTACTATGGTCATGTCTGTGAACAGCTATTGCACTCTAGCCTGGGCAACATAGCAAGATCCTGTCACTAAAAATATAATAAAATCCTAGACCTGGGTTTCAGCCTAGATATGTCACCAATACCTTTATGAACTTGGGCATTTCATTTGCTCTCTCTGGGCCTGTTTCCTCATCTTAAAAAAAAAAAAAAATAGGAAAGTGAGATAGTGATTTAATTGAATTAGTACAGCGATTTCTTAACTTTTGACCCAATAATTCCACTTTGGGAACTCTCTCCCAAGAAAATAATCCAAAATTAGAAAACAGTTATAAGAACAAAGAAATTTACCAACATCTAAAAAATAAAACTTTCTAAATATTCGGCAATGGAAAAGCAGCTAAATAATTTGGAACACATAATTATTGAGAGTATTATGCATTCATTAAAAATGTGTTGGCCAGGCATGGTGGCTCACACCTGTAATCCCAGCATTTTGGGAGGTCAAGGGGGTCTGATCATGAGGTCAGGAATTCAAGACCAGCCTGGCCAACATGGTGAAACCCTATCTCTATTAAAAATACAAAAATTAGCTAGGTGTGGTGGCACGGGCCTGTAGTCCCAGCTACTAGGGAGACCGAGGCAGGAGAATCACTTGAACCCGGAAGGTGGAAGTTGCAGTGAGCTAATATCGAGCCACTGCACTCCAGCCTGGCAACAGAGGGAGACTCCATCTCAAAAAAAAAAAAAAAAAAGTATTATGAAGATGACACAGCAACATGCCTCTGAATGGAAAACGAGAATATGTTTACATGCTATGGTTATCACTATATTAATTAAAAACGTATGCAGGTAACAAATCTGCCAAAATACGAATGGTTGGTAAGGATAATAACTTCTCTGTTTGTACTTTCAAAATTTTCTTTTCTGAGGAGAAAAAAAAAATTCTCCAACAGTTAAATTACATTTAAACTGAAAAGAAAAACAATTTCAGAATTAAGGAATTCAACTAAATAATCTCCAGGATTTCCTTCAGGCCCTAATATTCTGTGGTTTTTCTCTGGAACTAGGAGTAGAGGACAGGCAAGAGTAAAAATGTTAGAAATGTTTAGATGGCAGGGGCTGTGCTTGCTTAAATTACTTTGACAGCACTCAAAACAGCACATAAGAACATTTGAAAAGCAGCCGTTGGGGAAATGACGCAACACCCTCTATCTGTGTTACAGAAGTCTGAGAAGAAGGAGACCTGAATTGAGACATATGATCTCTAAGGGTCCTCTCCAAACAGCTTATCCAGCCACTTGTTGAACAAACATTTACCAAATGCCTACCATGTGTCAGGAACCATGTAGCTGAATGACTACTGAACCAATGGTTCAGAATCTAGTGGAGGAGAAAGATTTTATTTTAGTTTGCTAGGACTGCCATAACATAATACCACAGACTGGGTGGCATAAACAAGAGAAATTTATTCCTCACAGTTCTGCAGGCTGGATATCCAAAATCAGGGTGCCAGCACAGTTGGATTCTGCCAAGGGTCCCTTTCCAGGTTACAGACAGCTGACTTCTCATATTGTCACAAGGTGGAAAGAGAATGAAAGAGCTCTCTAGTATCCTTTTTTTTGTTGTTTTTTTTTTTTTTTTT